AGTTTGCATGTTTTTTTTGGTAATTCAGTGGGGATGATAAGCCATAACTATTTTATCAAGTAGATTAGAAGTTCACGCGTTTTTTCAAGTAGATTAGGAGTTAGCTTTTTGAACTCTTACCGGAACTCGATTGGATCCAAATACACCTCCCTCTTTCTCTCTCTCATATTATCATATGAATCTCTTGCTCTCATATTATCATATGAAATTGAAAGTTTGTATGTCTTGTTTTTTTTTTTTTTGGTAATTCAATGGGGAAGACAAGTCTTACCTATTTTTTTCAAGTAGATTAGGAGTTCACCCATTTTTTTCAAGTAAATTAGGAGTTAGCTTTTTGAAGGTGTTAGTGCGGTGGTGTTAGCGGTGGGAATGAGATTAGAAGTTCACCCATTTTTTTCATGTAGATTAGGAGTTAGCTTTTTGAAAGTGTTAGTGGGGTGGTGTTAGCGGTGGGAATGAAAACCACAATGTGGTGATTAAGATGCAGGGTGCTACCACAACGACCCCAACCCCATCCCAAAAAAGTGGTAAGTCAGTAGGGATTTGAGCCCTACCTTTAGTGAGAATGGAGTTAGACATCTTTCCTTAGGCCTCATCAATACTACCGCAAAGGCCCCAGGCCATCCTCTTATATGCCTGCTTTAAGTCATGCGAAAACATATATCTGCAAAATAAAATAGGAAATATTTTGGGTCCAGTTTGCATGAGGTGTCAAGCTCAAATAATCCGTGTAATGCGTAACCTTATGGTAAGATGTAATTTGAGTGTCGAAAATTTCAATGATGACTTAAAAATCTCCTTTATATCTAATTATAAAATTTAAAACTAAAAAACTAATGTAGATTGAGTAGATTTACAAACACTTAAAAATCTTGAAAATATATACTGTCTAGATAGTGTGTTACGAAATGCATCATTTTTAGGACTTGAAATTCTTCTTTTTTCCCTTATTTTTGTATGTGTCGAGGTTAAGATGATCAATTTGAGGGCTTTTCAGCATCAAAACAACTTTTTTCGATGGGCTTTTGATGCCTTACTTCTATTGTATAAAGTTGACACCTTGTATAATTTTTATCTAAATAGTTTAAGTAAGCTTTCAATATAAATTAGTTAAATACTGTTAAAATTTTAATATAGATCATTTTCTATTTACTGATGTCATAGTTTAAAAGAACATGATTTCTATGAGTCCATTTAGAAATGAGTCACCTCTTAAAAATCTATTTTTGAAATGGACTTTTGGACCTAATTTTTAAGAACATGTAATCTCTAACATGGAGATCTCGAATATGAAAAAAATAAATATATTTTGAAAATTAAAAATAATAATTCTATTAAAAAACATTTGGAGCTTTAGTTTCAATTATTTTTAGATGGACTACCGATTAGCATCCATCTTACCTTGGTGACCGCAAATGTAGAAATGTGGTCCCCAAACAATTTTCCTAGTTTAAAATTTCAAAAGGCCAAAATCTAAGTCACTACTTTAAATGTTTTTTTGAATTTAATATTTCATAGGATTCCATTAACGTAACTTATTCTTTTTGTCTTTCTGTTTTCATGATAAAATATCCAATATAAATCTCACATGTTCAAGAAATCGAGTCTATTTTATTCTTTTACATTTATTTTTGATGAATTTATTTTACTTTATCAATTTAAAATTGACGGCTTACTCAAAATTAAAAGTGAAATCCTGTTAAAATTGTGCGTCTTTATATTGAGATAATATATGGAAGCCTTAATTTAACGTGATAAATTCAATTTATAAGGATGGCACTACATATGTTATCGTCATGAAAACAAATCATAATAAATTCAGATTAATCGCATTTACGAAAAATAACAATATCCAAGCACAAAACAAAACTACGACCTCAGATAGTTTGATGTCATTGATAGTTCTCATTTGAAAGGGACCTTCAACCTACGTGATGTTGTATATTTATAACTTTTTACATATTTCAACACACCAAAAATATGACACATATATTAGATATTTTAGAAATCGAAATATATTTTTTTAAATATTTTTTTCTGAAATATATTATATAATTACCTCAATATCATTTGAAATCCTACTTCCTACATTATTTTATGGTGCACAAACGTATTGTGTTTGAAATGCTTATTTTATGATTAAGATTTCATATATTCATACCTATATTGGCCACTAACACACATAGAGGAGGCAAGCAAGTCGGGTTAAACGACCAACCAAATGGGTGAACTCGACCCAGGATTGCGAATACTAGACCCTTTGGGTTGGGTCCAGGTATGGCCGCATGGGTCCATTTAGGGCCTATGGGTCAGGTCTGGGGCATGTTCACGTTGACCAGACCTGATATGCGTGTGTGAGAGGTGGGTGGGTGGGTGTGAGTGTATGTGAGATTTATATCTTTTTATCTAGGGCCGAATCGGACCTGACCTAGTGGGTTAGGTTTGGGTTCTAAACCCAATCTAGGTCAAGGTCGAATCCAGTCAACTACCTGGTCAAGTGTGGCCTAAGTAAATTGGTGGTGGTTTAGTAAAATTAAATCCAAAAGCGACCTCACCCATCAAAAAGAAGAAGTCACCAAGTAAAGGGCGGGCCAACTTGCATATATGCTTCCTAGAAGCTCATAAAAAAATATCAAATATTCAAAGCTACGAAAGAAACGGTCAGGAAGAATAGTAGTGATTGGGCAAGGTGAGGTCATTGCACCGTGTGGGGCCCCTCTTTGAGATAGGAAATTGCATTATAATATTATTATTTAGAATTTGAACTTTTCGAGGCTGTCAAAGGCAACGATCGAAAACAGAGAAGGGGAATGGATGGCTCAGATATGAGCATGATCAATGGCCAGCGTATATTTTTTTTATTTCTAAGTTTTTTAAAATTATCTCTGAGTTAAAAATTTTGTAGAGATGTGCGCGAAACTAGGCATACAAAAATTAAAGTAAATATAAAAAATATTCCTACACCTATCAAAAAAATTAAAGTAAATATAAAAAATATTCCTACACCTATCAAAAAATGTGGGTCATCTAGACTCTCAAATCTAAGACCATCCGGCGGATACTGTCGGATCGGAAAATTGACTTCTCTTGTGTTTGTATAAAAAGAGAGCTGAAAATGGTAATTTTGGGGTGGTGTTGGACAGGAATTTGCAGTGCATAACTAATCCCAATCAACAAGGAATAGCCCAAGTCAGATCTGATTGTTTGCTGGGTGCTTGATTCCCTCATTTTTATTTTTATTTTTTAATTTATTTGTTGAATTCATATTGCATGGAAAAAAGAAAAAGGGATTTTCGATCTCACTAAAGGTATAGCCCTTCATAGCACTGAGTGATGAATCAAGATTTGTGTAGCAATCCCAAATAGTTGAAAAAAAAGCTCTGATTATGATGACGATGATGTTAAATACATATTGATATGGCTCAAAATTGACAAAGTTACACGAGTCGAACCAGCCTTGGACCCTAACGAGTCTAGGCCCGAATTGAGTTTCCTAGAGCACTCCACACTATCAGGCATATTCCTACAATATTTTGTATGAGGACTACGAGATGATTAATTCTCAAATAAGTGCTTAGGAGGAGCAATCCTTGAAGATAAAACAACGAGACGTGCCCAAAATAGATGGTGGAAAATTGTGCATATAAATCATGCTCATTTCTTCTAAGAGTATACACCTTGCGTTCATAGACAAACTCTATTTTTAGAGAGAAGGATGCAGACAGGCACCTAGATTTCTGCATTTACTACATATGCACGCATGGAGAGCGAATTTGGTGTTAGATCCAAGATTATTAAGAACTCAAAATTATTGTTTTCTCTTTCTTTTTCTTTTTTTTTTTTCTTTTTTTTTCTTTTTTTTTAGAATATCTCATTTGGTGATGATGATAATTGATAATATCTATAAAATAGGGAAATATATAAAATAAGATTTTTTATTTTCGAAATAAGGAGATACACAAGCTGACCATTAGATGTAAAACCAAGTAGCTTGAGATGTGTCATTGACTTGATACAAAATCTAATAAAATTTATCGAATGTTGTGACAATGCCCAATTTGGTAGATATCATATCCAATAGCTAAGAACGATTATAATCTCCGCGTGTCAAAAGCGAATGGTCTTTGATTGTACAATCTCATAAATTTTGAGATCAAGCGAATTGTTTGAGGCTTTGATTAACTAAAAATTCCTTTTCTTGAAATAGATGCTCCATATTCAAGATATCCTACTTCTTCTTAAAGATTTATTTTGGGCTTCATTCATATAACTCCAATGATCATTTGCTGTCGTAATTTGGGGTCAAACAAAACACCTTATACGGATTTCGTTGAGATTTTTTTCTTCTTTTTTTTTGAGTGGTATAAATTAGCTCATGGGATCAACACAAACATATATTGATCACAGTCGCTCTTATCTGTTAGATGTAGAATCTGACAATTTAGAATATGTTATAAAGTTCAAAATTTTTTTATTAATAATTTAAGTAGAGTTAGTGGTTCAATTTCACACCTCCAACCCCGTATTTTACATTAGAAAATTTATCAAAAAAACCTATAAGAGAAAATGTTTACATACTAGTTTTTTACAATTATGAGTATTTTGAAATTAAATCAACATACATGAATATGCTATTAAGTTGTACATCTCTCATCAGCAATTTGATAAATTTATTTAAAATATATCGATTGCTTATGAGAAAAAAACACACAATTTTCCACGAAAATACTCAGAAAGGGAGAAGATGAAAATAACATAACATTTCTAAGAAAATTGTTTTGCGTCGTTTGGAAGTCAAGATAAGTAGTACACGGCAATGCCTTGTCCCCATGCCGACGTGTCAAAGACGACATTAAGCCAGTTGAAACCCCGAGCCTTTTGGTTCGGGTTACGCTCCCTCGAGGCTCGTGATTCGGTGCCTCGGGCCCTACCAAAACTCAGATTCGGAGAGATCAGAGCCTAAGGCCGCGTCTTCGTCCCTACAAATATCGATCCCATCGCGGTTTTGTCAATTTTATTTGCAACTGTTTGCAAGAATCAAGAGCGTTGAAGCGAAGAACGAGGGCCACCATTTTATATGAATTTGCAGGTACTTTGAATATCTCCGCATATTTGTTTCGTTTTTCTTTCTTTTTTCCTGTTTTTGATGTAGAAATTAGTCTTTTTTCTATAATTTAGGGTAGGATTTTGATTGAGATTTGGATTTTATTTGGAATTTTACTTTCAGATGGCTTCTGGTGTTTCTTTTGTGGATATTTTCCTGTTTTGAAGCTTTGGTGAGGGGGTTTTTGCATTTTTTGGATTTCAGGGTTAAGGTTATCAGAAAGGAAATTTGGAGCTAAGCAAAGGGTTTTTTGGCCATTGTTTGGGGGTTTCTAGGGTTAGGGTTTGGAGAATGGAGTTTTTGGTTGAAATTTAGGCAAGGTTTAACAACACTGATGTCTTCGTGGTTAATGTGCTTTGACTCAGTGGATCTTTATAGGTTTCTTGTGATGAAGGTGTTTGATTTAAAATCTGGACTTTCTCTTTTTAGGAAAATTTTCTGGTTTTTTCATATTTTTGTTGGGGATTTCCACTGGTTATTAGAAATATTTGTTAAAGGTTGGATATTCTTGTATCGCATTTGATAGGGGAACTTTCTTTTCAAGCTTCTGTCTTGATTAGGGGTTTAATCAAGCTGTTTACCCTCGTAAGTTGTCAAAATGTTTCATTTACGAATGAATTTGTGCTTTAGAGTCTATCAAATTGTTTTTCTTTTGATCATTCTATCATTCAATGCGGGAGAAAATTTCTGCTTTCAATCTTCAAAGAATATGTTTTATTTAATTTGAACAATTGAGTTGAGTTGTGAGGGTTAGGAGGTGTAATTATTTTTGTGGATGTTACTCCTTTTTTATACTCGTTGCTTTATTCTGATCATGTTAACCATTATATTATATAAATACAAAGTCAGCATTTTTAAAAAGTAATTAGGTGTAAATTCTTAGAGTTCCTCTTGAAAAGGAAAGGAAAAAGAAAATTTTGGTGTTCTTTTACTAAATGAAGGAGAGCTTTTGTTTATCGAAAACATTCGTGGACCGCTTGAACTGCCTTCTACCTTGTATGGTTACTTTGATTCTCTGTTGTAACAAGGTATAAATCTGGTGTTTGTCAAGTCTGAGATTGCTGAAGATACTTCTAAAATGCAAACCATTGTTCTAAACAAGGACAAATGTTTTATTTTTTTAACAAATCATGCATTGATAATACAGTTCCTTTCTTAGAGAGTTCAGTGGACACAAAAACGAGGAGAACCCATCTTCATAAAAGCGTATCAATCATAGTTTTTGAGCCAATCATCTGATTTTGCAAAGACTTATTGTGCATTCGGGCGAGGAATGGGAGAGCACTTGGTTTTGTATGTTGATCATCCTATAACACCTGCAACTTTTGAATCGGGAGAGAGGCCCGAACGTTTGCCTGCAACTCCTGGTGAGACCAATCAAGTGCAAGGAAGCTTGTCTTCTGGTTCGTCGACTCAAGGTAGCCCTGTTGATGAGAATGGTGAGGGATCAGAGATTCATGATGAAGAACAGCCATTGTTGCAGAACGTGGAATGTCGTATTTGTCAGGAGGAAGATAATGTCAAGAACCTTGAAACTCCTTGCGCTTGCAGTGGTAGTTTGAAGGTATGTTATCAATATTTGTTCCTTTATTCAAAAAGTTGACTTGATATTAATGTAATGGCAGTAATTTAGGTGTTTTGTGTCAAGCATTTGCAATGCAACTCAGGAAATTGTTTATTGGGGTTATTTAATGTGGGCTTTGGTTGTCAAGTTACCCCCTTGTAGTTTTCTTTATTTGTTGGAAAGTAAAACATATCAACTTTGCAGGTAAAATGTGGTTATGTTTGATAGGTGTTTCTGTTAGTTTTCCTGTGGGATGATTGTTGTCTGACATTATTCTTATTATTATCATTGTTCTTGGTAAAAGTTCCTTTTTTCTTTGCGTTAATAACACTTGGCACTGTGGAATATCCAAGCAGGGCATATAGACATTTGAATGAAGGAAATTGGATTAATTGTTGTGAGCTCCGGGAAACAATTAGGTTTTTAAGGACCTTGTAGCTTTCCTTTTGTCTTTTGGCTAGAAGATGTTAGAGCTTTCTACATGGTCCCTATGGACAGGACGAGAGACACCAATGTAGTATGACATTAGTTATGTTGGATGTTTGCCTTTATGGTTGTACTTTAAATGTGGTTGGGGTTGTGCATTCACCTTTATACGGTGCTGTGTTGTACTTTATTATCATTGTTCTTGGTAAAAGTTCCTTTTTTCTTTGCGTTAATAACACTTGGCTCTGTGGAATATCCAAGCAGGGCATATAGACATGTGAATGAAGGTAATTGGATTATTTTTTGTGAGCTCCGGGAAACACTTAAATTTTTAGAGACCTTGTTTTTGTCTTTTGGCTAGAAGATGTTAGGGCTTTCTACATGGTCCCTATGGACAGGATGAGACACCAATGTAGTATGACATTAGTTATGTTGGACGTTTGCCTTTATGGTTGTACTTTAAATGTGGTTGGGGGTGTGCATTCACCTTTATACGGTGCTGTGTGGACATTTAGATATAGAATAATTTAGGCCAGCAATAGTCACATGTATTAAAAATAAAAGTTGAATTTGGTTTTACCCAAAGATTATCTGTTGTTCATTTGAAGTGTCATTTGTCTATTTGAGAATCTCAAAATTTATGTACTTATTCCCCTTTTTTTTGAGTTCATCTTTGATCTGCCTTAAGTGAAATTTGTGTAATGTTTGTTTTTACTTGTTTAGTTTTTGAAATTTCATCTCTCCCAATTTACTTATTATAATATACATTGTGTTGAAAAGGAGATGCTCATTTAGATAATATATATCCATCTATTGTGATGTTTTTCTTAGTAATGAGATCCTTGTTCCCTGCTGTATTTACGAGTACCTCCATGTTGCTCATGAGAAAAGAGATGCTATATGACTTGGCCCGTCTTTGCAACTAATGTGATGCTTTATTTGCAGTTTGCTCACAGGAAATGTGTTCAACGATGGTGCAATGAGAAAGGAGATATAACTTGTGAGATCTGTCATCAGGTGAGTGCTCAATTTATGATTATTATATTTATTACATATTAGAAGTATAATTCCTCAAACTGAGATTGCGTAAAAATATTTTGTTTGTCCGGTAGACTGCTTGATTGCTACTTTCAAAGTCTCAAACCTCTTCGAAAAGTTCCAAGTTCACTAAAATGTTCGGGACAAATTAAAGTTATATCCTTGAAATTACCTAAGAAATTATTTCTGTGTGTATTCTTGGTGTCCTATGGGATTATTGACTTGGTACATTCCCTGATTTATAGCCATACAAGCCTGGTTACACTGCCCCACCTGCTCGAGCTAACCCTGATGACACCACAATTGACATCAGGTAAGCTCAACTCTGACTTAGTTTATGCTTTCTTCATGGATTCATAAGTTTGAGGATAAATTTTGAGCTTCGACTTCTTGAGTTCTTTAATCACTATGTAATTTTAGTTTGAAGTACCTTTCTTTGAAGAAGTGTGTTTTTCTTTGGTTTCATGACTTGGATTTGAATTGCAGTGGGGGTTGGGCGATATCAGGGACTCCATTGGACCTTCATGATCCTCGGCTGTTGGCCATGGCTGCTGCCGAGCGCCACTTTTTGGAAGCTGAGTATGATGAGTATGCTGCAACAAATGCAAGTGGTGCTGCATTTTGCCGATCTGCTGCTTTAATTGTAAGCTCCTCAGGTTAAATCACTAGTCATTGGTGAATATTTTAGGAACATACCATGAAAATATTATTTTATATACAAAATCTGTTCCTGCTGTGATTTCTTTAAAGGATTTTGGTAGTGGTTTAAAACATCTTTTTCTGTAGACCAATAAAGGCACCCTTCTTTTTCATCGATGATGAAAAATTCTTTTAGGTTATTGGTGCCCTTTGTCTCTTTTTCTCTTTTTGGTCTCTCTTGATTTTGAGCTAGAACAGTGTTCGAAAATTCGGCCGCTCGACCGCCTAGGCAAAAAATTTCAAAAATACCTAGGCACGGCCTGGGTAGTGGAATTATTCAGCCTGTCTCTAGGCGCCCGCCTAGGTGGGCAATGCATTGGCAAGGCGCTACAGTCTGGGCACCTGCCTAGGCACCGCCTAGTGATAGTTTGCGGAGGGCTAAACAAAAAAAAAATGTCATTTTTCCGGGGAAGAGGGTTTTGGAGGGTATTCTAAACCCCAAAACAAAAACCGTGGCTTTTAGGGTGAGAAAAACTCCAAAAAAAGCTACTTTTTTGTGATTTATCGAAAGATTGATAAAGTTTTGATTGTTGCATTTTCGTCCCAAAACAAAAGCAATAGTTTGTGGGAGCTTCTAGGAGTTGATTTTTTTTCTTTTACGATATATTTATATGTTTGGTTGATGACTTGATATATTTTTTTTTTGATTTTTTCTTATTGACTTTGTGTATCGTTTCTAGTCTAGACTTCTAGTTTCCTGCAATGATATTTGGGATTTCAAGCATTTTAATGTCTTACAAGTTACAATCTCTTTGAGACTTGTATCTGTATATCTGTTATGTAATTGTACTAGTACTTTTTCATCTATTTCATGCGGAGTTAGGGGCTCTAAAATTTCCCTAAAAACTCCCAAAGACTTAAACCCATGCCCTAAGAACTCCCTGGTTTTCTTTGTTTGGGGGGTCTGGGCGAGCGCTCGGGCGCCTAGGGGGCCAGGCACCCAGAACGCCTCGACGCCCGAATCCGCATTTTTGAACATTTAGCTAGAAGAAGTGCTGCCCTTTGGGGTTAAACAATAACTGTAGTATTTTGGTCATATCACAAAAAATAGGTGGGGATTAGTGATTTTGGTTGTGATCTTTGGTAGCATTCATAATCAGAGCAATCCTTTTTGGCTGCAGTTAATGGCTCTTTTGCTCTTGAGACATGCGCTGACCATCACCAATGCTGATGGGGATGAAGATGCGTCCACGTTTTTCTCTGTAAGTTAAACTACGTTTCATTTCTATGAGGTGTATTGGTATTTCACAGTAATGATGTTTATGTTTTGTGATCTGCATATTCTCAATCTCTAACCGGTTTTGTATGGTCAGCTCTTCTTGCTACGAGCAGCTGGGTTTTTGCTCCCATGTTACATCATGGCTTGGGGTATCAGCATCTTACAGCGACGAAGGCAAAGACAGGTGAGTTTCACATTCCTTTTTTGCCTGACCATTAGGAGAAGGTTACTGTCTTGGTATTCAAATTGAAAATTTTTATATTGGCACAAGTTAGCATATTAAAGTTATTAAGGCCATCTGTGAGGGTTACAACACAGTAGTTGGCGTCTGGTATGCTAACTTGGACTTGAGCATATGTATCACTTGAGAGGGGCCTACAGAGAAGTCTTTAATTTATCTATTTATTTCATGGTCTTATATTTGCCCAAGTATCACTAGATCCATCTCCATGGATTCAGTAGGAATTCACCCAAAAGTATGTGAGACATAAATCTTGATAGGAAACTTCAATATTCAATTAAAAACAAAGTGTGAGCAAGGCACATCGCCAAGTGCACCAGGTGTAGGTGAACGCCCATAATACACGAGATAAGCACACCTATGCACTGATGCGAGCGTGCAAACTACCCAATGTCAAGCGTGTGCGTGCGCGTTTGGTCTTTGCAAGCCTCAATTGTTGCTCACAAGTCAGTCACTAGGCCCCGTGAGCGGTCATGAGGGGCCGATGAGTGCACCAAAGATGGGCCTCGGGGTTGGGCGGTGCAACCCTTCCCAATTATGGTTGTAGGTGTAAACAATGGATGTCCATGAGAGGCACCTAAATGGGAAAAGTAACATATATGTTCATGGAATGCACAGGTCAGGATTCGCCCATCACTAGGTTAGGGCCTTTGCCCCATGCGTGCCCATGTGCATCGGTGAGGCTCATCATTGCACACGTCGGTGCCATCGCGGTGCGAGTTGTGACTAGAGCATTACACATGCGGTACAGTCGTGTTGTGGAGGCACACCACACACCACACACCACACTGCTCGCACCACATGGCCCGGTGCGTGGAGCACGGTACACCCATCTTGGTGAACCGTGGTGGCATAAGACAGAACATATTGGCTTTGCTGGATTTACTAGACCGGATTTGGCTGTAAAGACTTATTATTTATGCCACTTATAGCTTCAAATATTGGTGCAAGAATTGCCACTTTTAACTTTGTATTCTTTGGCTCTAAAATGCTACTATCACCATTACCTCTGCGACCACTACTTAAATTTACCGTTTGTTACTTATATTATAATTGATCTGCAAGGGGTCCACTACTTAATTTCCATTTGTTACTTATATTAAAACCTACACCAGAGCTCTGTTGGTCTCATGACTGAACTGTGCTATCATGAGCATTTGAGGACAAGTCTCAGCCTTTGTTTCCTCGTAGCTTAACATTCTGCCTTGCTTAGTCAGTGTTCATTGTTCTAGAAGACTTCATTTATACTTGCGGCATGCATGTTTCTTTTCTTTAACAAATAACAAACCCTCTATTCTTGTGCGTGTTTAGCACTTCTGCTAAAAATTATTCTCATGCAAAACCCTACTTTTATTTGTATCTTTGTGATTTTTTAAATCAGGAAGCGGCAGCATTGGCAGCAACGGAGGTAGCATTTGTGTTGCAATCTGGGCAAGCAAGAGGCCTTCAGTTTGCAATTGCACCTGGAGCTGCTGCTTCTCGCCAAGAACCACTCCAATAACACCCACCTTCAAATAAAAAGATAGACATCAATTTAAAACCTGTAAGTTCTATGTCTTCTGCAACTTCCACTTATTCAATGAGGACTCCCTGTTGCAAAAAATGAGTTTTTATTCCTGGTATTGGAAGTATATGTTACTCGCCATGCTTTCGTCATGAAGCTGAAAAACGAAAAAAAAAAATTGAGAAGATTCAGGTTTTGTCCTGTTTCTTATGTCCTCTCTTATCAGAGAGGGTTGGAGCTGTTTTGTATATATTGTGGCTACATGGTGGATTTACATACTTGTTGGTGTCATGGTCTATGAGGAAGAAAGAATGGGAATGTTTGTTTGTGGTGGAAATTGTCACTAATAATCACTGCTGGCTATTGTAAAACTTTATAAAGTAAAAAATTACTAGGAGCATCCATAATGTTTACAATTCAACCTTCCAATGCATGTAGTGGGGCTGCTTGTCTATGGTGCTTGCATTTGTATCATGTGGATGTATGCTTCTGTGCATGTTTTCTTCTCCTTTTTTTTTGGCTTATCACTTTCCGGTTTTGCGAGCATGGGTCGCACCTTGAAGGCTAATGTGTGATAAGTGGAGAGGTCCATGCCATCCGCTATGTTATCTAGCACAGACACTGGTGTCCAAATTCTTTAGGTGTCTAGGCGTCTTGTACTTTGGCATGAAGAGATAGGGCTTTACATTTCCATTTGATTGTTACTTTATAATGAATTAATAGATTTTAATGTATATATAATAAAGGGTGCGGTTTGTATAGAGCTGAGGTCAAGAAATGTGGTGTCAATGCTGGAAATCTTTGAGATAGCCTTAAAATATTTTTTTATCTTTAATTATAAAATTTAAAGCTTAAAAAAGTAGTGTAGATCGAGCAGATCTATGAAACTTGAAAATCTTGATAATTAATGGTCAAAATATGCGATATATATTTCTAAAACTTGAAATCCATTTTTTTCGAATGTTCATGCATCTCAATAACGAGATGTATCAATTTGACGATATTTGGGCATCAAAACAACCTCTTCTAGTGAAATTTTTGAGGTGGGCTCTAATTTGATTGTTTGGAGCATTGGCTCTATATAAACTTTTTCCTATAATAAATACCTTTGTGTATGATCGGTGCGGCGGTAAACTACATGAACTTTGGCATATAGGACATCTTGGGTTTAAATCTCTTTTCTGCTCTTCTCTTTTTTTAATATTCTCTTGTTTAGAAGTATTGATACAGCATCCAAGCATCGACATGTTACATGGCACTTTGCAGAGAATGAAGTGCTATGTAACATAATTCTCTGGCACTCAATTGTTTGGAGCTGGTTTGTCTTGACCTAGAAATTGTGTTTAACACTTTAGACAAGGGAAATTGGAAGTACTTTGAACACGGGTTTTGAACCAAGGGGATCCTGTGTCATGGTCATGTAGTCCACTACAGCGCCAACGACATTAGTGTAATACGTATGAACCTTTTGTTATATGTTACATCAAAAGTTCATATTTTATTAAAAACTAATGATCACAGAGATGCATTTCCGGTGTCCCAAATTTAGGTCATTGCTTCGGACACCTAGACACACGTTGGTTTCAAATACCAACGTCCATGTTCAGTAGCATAGTTGATAATGATCTCACCTGTTATCCTGAAAGGAGACCTACTAAAAGGGCCGCTGGTGGTCCTCGCCTTATGCCCATGTTCTACTGTGGTAAGATTCTGTTGTGAAGTTTCAACCTTTTTCGAGAGTGGGTAAAGTAGGGGGTAAGTTTTTGGAGTATCTTCTCATGCTGAATTACATGGTTGGAATTTGCAATTTTGCTATCACGGGGGAACTTTTATTAGAGAAAAACCACTGGAGTTAGGCTAGCGTTCATTGAGTTTTGGTCGGATTCATGTAGTTTCGGTTTAGATTGCTTTTGGCTCCAGACATGGAATTATATCATGTAATTGTTGCGCAAAGTTTCTCTGTCAAAAACCTTTTTTTGAGGTATTCCACGTTATAGATGAATCATTTTGCTCAAAGAAATGAAGAGGTGAAATTGGGACGTGGGATTAAATCATTCCCATATCATAAGTATATTTTGAACTGTAAACCCTAGTCATCAAATGTGAAAGAGGGATGATGGATTCATTGATTATAAAAGATTTCATAAGAATTTTTTTTGAACTTTGTAAAAAGAAATTACTGTAAATATTATGGTCGCACTTTTTACGGTTAAAGGTGATTGTGACCTTATAACAAAGATATCAATTTTGGAGCATAGTCATGCTACTTATTATTTTTGGTATGGTAAGGTAATAATGAACCCATTTGTAATCAAGTGGCAGGGCGTATGCCATCGATGAGTCTGAGGGAAATTTTTTCCTGTATGGACCCTTGCTGTTGGATTTTACTTATTGGGGTATTTGTGACCTCTGTGTATGAAAAGTCACGGCGTTTGATTCTTTGCATGCAAATTCTAATTTCAACACCATTGGATTAATTTGATTCTCTGTCTACAGATCCTACTACAATTAATTTGATTCCTTGTGTTTCTCGTAACCAAACGTGGGATTTTTTTTGTGTATTTATGATTTATGTTTTGAGAGGCTTCCCATATTTAATTTTGGGGAAATCCATAGTGGTGTCTTAATTTACTAGGGTACGATGGATTATTTGAGAGATGAAATTCTAGACCTTCCGATTCACATTTTATCTGACTTGGAATTGCCCGGATCGGATCGGGTCGGGTCGGGTCAGGATTGGAGGATCCAAGGAAGCAAGAAACACCTTTGAATTACCTGGGTCCTCTTGGTTTTAGCTTTTCCTTCCCCAATCAGTCCTACTCGGTAATCCCTGATCCAGTTCGTGCAAATCAAAATTGGGTCCCTGGTGAAGAGGAGTAGGAATCTGATTTGCGACGAAATTCTAGACCTTCCGATTCACATAACATGGCTATTATTAAGTTTAAAAACCTAAATACTCCATAACAAACAAGGCTTTGGCAAGGAAAACATCTAACCATAAATCGCCTTGTCCAAATGGGATACCAAGGCCCATCATCCTCCTTTCTTTAAGACTTGATGCTGGCATTCTATATGAACATGGTAGGCAGAAGATTTAAAAATCTCTTATCTGATTTATTGTAATCTGATTACGAAGATTTAAAAATCTCTTATCTGACTTGGAATTGCCCGGGTCGGGATTGGAGGAGCCAAGGAAGCAAGAAACACCCTTGAATTACCTGGGTCCTCTTGGTTTTAGCTTTTCCTTCCCCAATCAGTCCCACTCGGTAATCCCTGATCCAGTTCGTGCAAATCAAAATTGGGTCCCTGGTAAAGAGTAGTAGGGATCTGATTTTTGGAACATTGATAAAAAGAACAAACTTTGTTTTCCGAAACAGCATTCGATGAAATGCAACGCCCTCAATTAAACCTCCGAGTTACAAGGAAAAGTTTGGTACTTTATTGCAAAAAGGAGAAAAAATATGATTTTTACCACCAATTGATCATACATGCAAGCAAAATCTGCCTTCACTATATTCTGCTGCAAAACCCAAAGTTATAACCAACTCACTAAATGAGCGAGCCTGCCTGCCTCATTATCATCCCAAAGTTTCTACCCAAAATGGCCAAAGAAGTTTATTCGAGGATCTTTTAAGAAAAATTTTGCACCAGTCCCAATCATCCCATCAAAAACATGAATCTCTTGTTTCTTGATGCTAAAGCGATGCCCATCTTTCCCCACCTCTCCGAAGGTATGTACCCTTACGGCTAGTTTGGATGGGTGCATAAGCCGAAGCGATCTTATAATTTTTAAGTTGTACCTGGGATTATTAGATTCACCTCAGCGAGCTATTCGTTTAGGCCTAGGAGGATGTTATTCATATTTTCGGCCAATATGGGGGAGTTTCTCGGGTGTATTTAAAATAAAAAACAAAGAAAATTAAAATATGTAGTTCTAGGTATTTTTAAAAATATTTTTACAAAGTTCTGAATATTGTATAAGAATTTATTACTAACTTTAAACCTATAAAGGGTATGGGAAATTTATGTAAAGATCCCTAATTTTGTTTGAAATTTTAAAAGTATCCCCAATAGTATTTTATATTTTGTCCCTTTTTTTAAGATCGTATGTAGTATTTCAATTTTATCTTCTTTTTTTTCAATCTGATTGAGCTCAAATTTTGGTTGTTTGTACTTTTCACTAGAATTAACTTAAAAAATATATATAAAATAATAATTTTAACTGAATAAAATTACCAAAATGAACAAAATACTCAAAATTATTTTATATAATTTTTATAGGAAATGAAAAGTGTGGACACACAAAATTTGACATTTAATTTGATGTATAGAGAAAATAAAATTAAAACACTAGATGTAGAATGGGACAAGAACATGTACTATAAAATATTAGGGCTAACTTTTTTATTTTTGGAAAGTATAAGGGATATTTACATAAATTTCACAATAGTGATACACTAAAATATATTGGGGAGTTATTCGCTTAACATTAGTTTGGATGTAGAGTGTAAACACTTCGACCGAAGAGGTTCAATATGATAACACTGATTTTACCTCCACGCGTGAGACAATGGTATAACAACTTTACTTCGACAGGGTTCATCAACAACTGGTTTTATTACGGGACAAAGCTAGATGACTGAATGGGGAGATCTATGTTTCTTTTTGTTTTTAGAATTTCAAGTACCAGATCAATAGGTCCGACAAAACCTTTATAGAGCTTCTAGCTTCCTCTATTTCTCGATAAAAAGAAATATGACAATCAATGTCTATACAAACGATTTCCTTTTTTAACACTTTCATTATGACTATCCTTCCGAATGGAATAAGACAAATTGTTTTCTTTCTCTCAATCAATTAAAAAATGACTGGAAAATGAAACAACACGTAAAAAATGAGTATTAACCCCAATGGAGACATGTACGATTTAATATAGCTTAGCTTATTCAATTAATGAGTCATTTTGTTCCGGTATTGGAAATCCAATTTAATCATTCGTCATTCCATAAAGAATTGAACCCTTCATGAGTGATTGTCCCTAACGGAATCTGTCAAAAAAGAAGTTGATTCCTACATATTGGATTAAAAAAATAAATTTTGAATTTTGAAATATCAGATCTTCCATCATTTATATGGAACTGATCGAATCATATCCAATAAGAATTGGGAATCTTTTTTATCAAAGAATCTAAACAAAATCAAATTGGATTCGAACTTGGAACGAGCATAAAGAAATTAGCAATACTTCTTTTAAAGAAATTAACAATACTTCTTTCTGTTGATAAAAAAATGAGTGGATTCAGCTTTAAAAAAAAAAAACCCCAAAAAAACACGAGATGGTCCATCTTTACGTTGGCTTTATTGGCAACTTGTACACCCACACAGGCCATATAATGCAATAATCAGCTCAAAAGAAATAAGGG